TATGCATACCCTTATGAGACCATTTCTACAATAAGAAAATGAACATATACATCTTTCACCCCCAAATTTCCTCCAGGCTCCTAATTCATTCCTTTTTCCTGTGCTTGTCCTGTTCCCCAGGTAGCCACTCATCTACTTTCTATCACAATGCACTAGTTTGTTTTCGAGTGTTATACAGATGCAACTATTCAATGCATACTCATCTATTTGAACTTCCTAAATCGTTGTTTGGATCAATAAATTATTAGCTTTAGTTGCTGAGTAGTATTCCACTGTATGGCTACTTCATATATATTCATTTGTTGGATAACTATAACCAATGAAGATGTTACACATATTCATGGATAATCTTAGTACATTTATTTGCTTTTGTTTTCTTTGGGTTACACTTTGAATATCCATTACAATGGCTGACTTATATGGTTGGATGTGTATTTGGGGGGGAGGGGAACGACTGCTTTTGCAGTTGTATCCTTCTATATTACCTCACAAGTATTTGCAAGTTTCATTTGCTCCATTTCCTTTTCAACCTTGATACGGTGGTTCTTTATATAGTCTAAAAGGTACATAGGTATTGCATTCCATTGTGTGTTGCCAGTCATGGAGCTGGAACTTAGGGCCTGGGTGCTGCCTCTGAGCTTTTTTGCTCAAGGCTAGTGTTCTACCACTTGAGCCACAGTTCGACTGCATGCTTTTTTGAAGGTTACTTAGAGATAAGTCTCATGGACTTTCCTGCTTGGGCTGACTTTAAATTACGATCCAGAGGTGTTGTTATCCTCTTGAGTAGTTAGGATTATAAGCATGAGCCACCGGCACCCAGCTATATTGTGATTTTAATTGAAATTATTTTGTTTGGCAGTACTAGGGTTTGAACTCAGGGCCTTGTGCTTGCTAGGCTGACATACTGAACCATGCTTCCAAACCAGTTTTTGTGGGTTATTTTTAGGATAGGACATTATTTCCTGTTCAGACATACACGAGCCACAGTCCACGTATTTTTAGGCTTCAGGTGGAAGTTGGGAGATCACAAGTGTGTATCACATGGAGTCTTGGTGACTTTTTCCATAGGCTGGCATGGAACCTGGATCATACCAGGTCACTTGGAAAGGTTCATAGTACTGGGCCCAACTATTGGCTGAAGTCTCATGAATCTTTCTGCCTGGGCTGAAACCATAGCCCCTCTGGTTCTCAGCTTTCCAAATAGCAAGTGTGAGCCATTTTAATTGACATTTTTTATACTAATGATGCTGTATGTCATTTCATGTACTTATTTGATAAGATCTACCATGGTTATGTAGGTATTAGTTTCTTTTGGAAGGGAAGTTCTCTTTAATCTTTTATTTTTATTATTTTTGGAAGTTCTGGGGGATTGAATTCAGGACCTTTATTTGCTAGACAGAGGCTTTCACTTACACCACACCACCAGTCATGTATTACCCATTTAAACACTTTTAGTGAGGTATTACTCAACATTTTGCCTAGTGTAACTGGGCTATTACTGAATTCAAGTTCTTTTTTTTTCCTTTTGTTTGCAGTTACGAGGCTTGAACTCAGGGCCTGGGCTGGACTCTGTCCCTGAACTCTTTTGGCCAAGCTCTTTTGCTCTACCACTTCAAGCCACAGCACCACTTCCGGGTTTTGAGTGGTTAATTGGAGCCGAGTTTCATGGAAACCTTTTTTCTGCCTGGGCTGGCTTTGAACCATGACACTCAGATCTCAGTCTCCTGTGAAATTAGTATTGCAGGAGGAAGCCACTGGCTTCCAGCTTCAAGAGTTGTCTATACTGATTATAAGCTATACAAATCCTCCTAGGTTTTTTGTGTTTTGTTTTTTAATCTTGAAACAGGATCTTGCTGTAGCTCAGGCTGGTCTTGAACTCCCTATACCCCTGCTTCAGCCTCCTGAGTTCTAGGATTACAAGCATACATTATCACATGTGGATTCATTAAGTGTTCAAATAATCACTAAAGTATGTATTTTTTTTAATGGAGGATGCCCTGTGGTGTCAGTCTTCCCTATTTTCTTCGAGATGTACATTTATTAAGTCTTACTGTGTTGCTGAAGCTAGCTTGAACTCATGGGTTCCTGCATTCCTCCCACTTCAGTGCCTTAGTGCTACACAAGCATCTGCCATCATGTCTAGCCATGATGGATTCTAAGTTAATTGTTACTTATTGTGAAGGTATGGATCAAAATTCATACTTTGAATTGAAAAAAACAATTTCCAGCATTAATTTTTCAAAGGACAATTTTTTTCTCTAATGAAATGTACCTTATATAAAGAAAGATCAAGTGGTCATTTAAGTGCAGCTATCTTTCTGTTCAATAGCCTTTAGCTGTTTCTGCCACCCATATTGCCTTTTTGCAGCAGCTTCGTGTGTGGAAGCAGTATGAGTGCTTAATTGCATGTCTTTACAGAATTAAGCATTGTAAGTTAAAAAAAATGCTAGTCAACAAAATTTGGCTACGTCTTTATTATTCTTGTGCCAGTACAGGGGCTTGAACTTACTTCCACTTTCAGCTTTTTGCTGGTTGGAAACAAAATTCCTGCCCAGGAGGGTTTAAACCTCAATCTTCCAATCTCAGCCTCCTGAGTAGCTAGGATGAATAGGATCTATTTGACTTAGGGAGAAGTGATTCAATATTTTGTCTTGAATTCTGTGAAAATATTCAACTTATGTCCTAGCAATGCTTTATATAGGATTTTGTGTACTTGCCTTGCATTTAAGTATGTTCCTAAGTATTTCATATTTTTACTTACATTTTGCTGGAGATCAAACCCAACCTCCTAAAAGTGTTGCTAATCCCCAATTCTACAAGTTCCATTTTCGTTTCAATTTATGATTTTTACTGGTGGAAATGCAACTGATTTTGTAGCTCACGAGCTTGTTACACTAATTGGAGTAGCAAAGATTTTAAGATCTTTGGTATCATCTGCAAATAGACTTTTCTTTCTTCCCAACCTACATGCTTATTTTTTCTACTGGACACCATCTATTTGATAATACACCCTTTTCATGTTACTGGATTTTTGACAAAACTTTTACGTGTATGTAAAACTCGTATTCTTTGATAAATCCACAAAAGCCATCTTGCCTTAGACTCTTTTTCTTTGTGGGAAGGATTTTAACTACAAATTGCCTTCATTCATACAAATCTACTTTTTCTTTAACAGCATAGTGAAGTGATTGACTTATTGCTCACCTATTGTAAGGACATGATACTCCATTGTATGGATATCAGACATTGACCCACTCACCAGCTGATGGGCATTTGGGAAATTCCTACTCCAGTTACTATGGAAACTGCTGCAATCAACTTTTTTTTTTCTTCTGGTCGTGGGGCTTGAATTCTGGGCCTGGGCGCTGTCCCTCAGCTCTTCAGCTCAAGGTTAGCGCTCTACCACTTGGGCCACAGTGCCACTTCCGGTTTTCTAGTGGTTTATTGGAGATAAGTCTCACGGACTTTCCTGCCTGAGCTGGCTATGAACCACAATCCTCAGATCTAGCCTCCTGAGTAGCTAGGATTACAGGCGTGAGCAACTAGCGCCAGGCTCATTTCCTTTTTCCTATGCATTCACAAATACAAATTATTCTTTAAGCATTTCCAGTATCATACGACTTTTAATGTTTGACTTTTCTATTTCCTGAGCTTCTAAGGATGTTTAATTTCTAGATGTGGAGAGATTTTTCAGATATGGTAGCAAGCTTCAAAATACGTTGTGGCATACTAGAATTTGTTCCAGTGGCAAAACAATTAGCTGTACACACTACTACTTAGTGTGTTTGGGAAAAAATATATTGTGATCCCATTACCACAATGTCCTAAGACTTGCACTTCCCACTTTCCTCCCATTGTCTTTCTTACCTCTTTTCTATTGTCAGGTTGGTGTAAACTTCCAATCCTCCTGGACTCAACCTCCAGATACTTTGGATCTTGATTTAAAAGATCAAATGGTTATTAGGGAGGTTATGGCTAATTTGCCTGACAAACTCCAGTTGTCACCAGATTGGAACTATCTTTACAAAGAATATTGGAACAGGACAGTAACACATGAACCCAGGAAAACAATTTATACAATAAATCAGGACCTCTGTAATATAATTAATTTGATACATGAATCCTAAAGTTATAATGTATTTCTACTTCCTTTTCTTCAGTGGAAACTGACACATTTTGTTTATATCAGCCATCAGTGTAAGGTTTATTATTTTTCTGTTCCTTCCAAGATTAAAGTATAATCTGTAGTCTCAAAGGAATTATCTTAATATAAAATTTTGACTTTTTGGGGGGGGGGGAATCCTAGGGGCTGTAGCCTAATGTGAATATAACTTTTTAACAATTACATTCATAATACAGCAGGATTATTTCCTAGGACTTCACCTTTTCTTTCACTGGGATCACACTACAAGACTGTGCAATTTATCAAGTTCCAACTCATGGCCTTGGCACTATCCCTGAGCTTCTTGCACTCTTACCACTTGAGCTTCAGCACCACTTCCAGCCTTTTCTGTTTATGTGGTACTGAGGAATTGAACCCAGAGCTTCATACATGCTACGCAAGCCCTCTATCATAAGCCACATCCCCAGCCCTGACATATCTTTAGAGATTAGAAACTTTTGTCACTAATGTATGCCCAGAACTCAAGTTTGTAGAACATTGTTTATAGAGACAATTTATGAATTTATGTGTACCATTATGCTTCAGGGTTGGAGACTGCTAGTAACAAGTAGAATTCTAGACTGTTCAAATATATATTTGGCCTGTACTGAGACTTGAATTCAGGGCTCAAGAGCTATCCCTTAGCTTTCTTTTGGTGGTTAACTGAAGAGCCTTTTGAGTATCAAGGATTGCAGACATGAACCACCAGCACCAGGCAATATTGTTCAAATCCTTAATGGAGGACTTTTAATCTTGCCAATATGGTTTATAAAAGATTATCTAACAATGTTAGCTCCATAAATGTGGTCAAAGAAACAAAAGAAAAACCTTTTAAAGCTACAATAATATAACACAATCTTTAATAGACTTACCTCCTTCGAGTTCAGATGTCATGTTTTTGAGGGCAGTAAATAAATATCTAGGCCAAAGTTCAGAAACTTCAAGATATTATGCCCAGTAGAGAATTTTCCCATGTTGGATTTAAGCTTTCATATGAATATAAGAAGGCAGTTATTTTTCAAGATTTAAATGATAGTTGAGAAAGGAACAAGTGTCTAGGCTGAGTTCAAGTCCCCCATCACAAAACTGTTTAGACTATTTAGCAACTGCTTCATATTATTTACTCACTTTCCAAGTAAAACTCTGATTGAAAGGTTTTGTTACAAGGAAGTTGGCTTCTGCTTAGCATTCTCATAGATCACTTGTACAGGATGTCAGATATAAGGCAGCCCTTACAGAGGCCCACTTAGTAAGGAACTGAAGTCATATGAATGAGTCCCAGTGGTGGGTCCAGTTCTTATCAAGCCTTCAAGATGATGCAACTGTCAGTTTTACTAGAAATTTATGAGATCATAAGTTAGAAACACCAGGTAAGCTGCATGTAGATTCTAAACATGTTTCTTGTTTCAAACTACTAAATTTTGGAGTGCTGTGATAAATAAGACATACCAGGCACAGATTAACCATTTTTTTGAATGAAATAAATCCCTTAATAAGAACTTTTTGATTGTAAATTTTAAGCATTAATTTATGCTTAATTCTTAATGTAATGATCAATAAAGTGTAACAGATGGTTGGTTGCCTTTTACAAAATAATTTTTTTCTTTTCTTGTTCTGAAATGCTGTGGATCAAACCCAGGACACTGTACAAAATATGCAAGCACTCTTATGATTCAGCTATATTCCATACAGATACAATTTCAATTCATGTTTGTTTGATGTTAGTCAAGGGGAAAGGGTGGGGAAGAAATGAATGCAGACTCACCCAAGTACTCCTTCCTCACTACAAAAAAAATCTCAATACATTAATAGTCAATACACATTAAATAGCCTGCAGCCTAATGTGAATGTAACTTTTTAACAATTACATTCATAATACAGCAGGTTTATTTCCTAGACTTTACCTTTTCTTTCACTGGGATCACACCACAAGACTTTGTGCAATTTATCAAGTTCCAAGAGATTTGTATTACCATGCCTTTTTTACACCAGCACTGTTTTTTATGAGCTTTAAATTTAGATCCTGAGAACTATGAAAATAGCAAAATGGTAGAAAATGACTATGTATAGTTGTACACTGCAGGATTCAGCACAATTCAGATTTTTTCCCTGACATTTATATACATCACAGATCACTACCAGAACATCACATAAGTTTATTTTAGATGTAACAGCAATGTTAAAATTGACAAATTTAATTCTTAACTGCACCAAGTAAACTTAGCCATTTAAGTTTTTTAAAGTTATTCCCTCCAAAAACTGAGGGATCTTTTCTTTTCCACCACCACACTCCATAGTTTCCCAACACTTCTCTGCTTGGAGGATTTTCAGTTGGCAAGTAAAAACTGCTTTAGAGATACTTCAGAATTCCTTTCCCCAAATGAAAACTAATCTGGACAAATTATATATTGCATAGATTTCTCTACAGATTCTTCTCTTTAGAACCTAAATGCAAATACCATACAGTTCAATTTTAACCTATTTGCCCCAGTATAAACTATCTGTCCTGAAAAATATGACATAATCAATTATCCTCCAGTTAACAGAACTGTTTTACCTCAAAGATTATTACATATCAAAATAACAATTTAACAAGGAGCACTACTTTCTGTCTTTACTGATTCACAGGCATATACTAGTGCCCAGGTTCTACCTCTTCCATATCCTTCTCTTCTGTAAGTAGATGGAATTATTCAATACAAGTTTGATGTAGGACAATTAACCCATTATACACACTTAAATTTAGGTTGTGTCATTCACTAGTGTGGAAAAAGAAACTATAATAATAGGGAGCCTACACAATCAATTCAAACTTTAATATTTCCCCTCTTTACATAACATGTATTTAATTTCATGAGGCAGCTATTCGGTTTTCAATAACCACACTTAGGAATACATTCATAGGACTGCTTAGATAGTCCAGGTGAAAGGGTTATAGAAACAGAGGCAGTGTCATCTCAGAAAACTCATTTATATATCAAAATCTATTTTGATATCTGGAAGTTTACATACAAAAAGGCTGATTTCTTCAAACTAATTATGTTTTCTGTAACTCAAGCACACTTCTCTTGGCAAGAGCAAGCTGAAGCTTATCCATAAAGGTAAAGGTGCTTAATGCTAAATTGTCTTCTAAGCTTAGATTTAGACTTTTCAAAAAACTAATACCCAAGAAACCAGTGTGGTCATTCTACATTTTTACTATCTTAAGATTACAACCCTATAAAACTCAGCAACTATATTCCTTCCTCTCTTTTCTTGGCACTCAAGACTGTTGAAGTCTATTTTACTTTGCACTTACACATTCTCAACAAAAACTTAAGGTTAAAAGTGTACACAAACACTTTGTAAAATAATTCTGTTCCTTAACTACTCATAAATGAGTCTTTTATCCCAGAATTTTACATAAGAGGATAAATATCAAGAATCAAACTGCCTTTTAAAGTCAAATGACAAGCCCTGTGTATTGTTTCAAAGTCTAATGAGACATTTCTTGAACCATCACTACTGACAATCTAAAATCTTCTAAATATTAGCAATGGGACAATGGGCTGAAAATATGAGTAATTCAGACATCTCTCACCTTACAAAAAATTATCAACTTGTCAAAGATTCCTACATGCCAGAAAATGGTCTGCCACAAACCAGAACTGTCAATACAGGAGATCACAGTGATATTTGCATTATTAACACTTTATACTTCTAACCTCTCCAAGAATAGAAGCAATTAGTTTAACTAACCATTCCTCTTATTCCAAATTCTTAAATTCAATATTATAGGCACAAGAGTATAAGCAAATCTGGGATGTGCTCCAACAGAAATGCAACAGCATAGCTATGTTATTCTTAAAAATACTGTCTAGTCTTTCCTATATAACTAAGCACTCAGTGGCCACACTTTTAACAGCCCACATTAGTTCACAATAAATGTATTTTATTGTGCAACAAGTCTACCTAAGCTTTCTTTAGATATTTTTCAATGTCCGAGAAAACAGGTGCTTATTTGAGGAACTGACCTACAATGACATCAACTCCAATTTTAAGGTTAGACTATTGTTGGGCCTATTGAAACAAAAATACAAGAAAAAGTCTATTAAAATTAAATTTCTTCAGGTCAGTTAAAGGCCATAACTCTGGCTGGCATATTAAAAAAATTAATCTCACCAGCCTACACTCCAAAAGTTAATGCCTCTAGGAACAATCAGAACAGCAAGAAAAATAAACCTGCTAACAACCAGTCTACTATTGAAAAAGCAATTTAACCAAACACTTAGATAAAAATATAACACTACCTACCCCAAACGGTTCCACCCATTAGAGAGGGGAAAAAAAATTGCTCTGAAAAGCTAAGTAAGCTTATAATTTCTTACAAGGATTACAAATGGTCCAACTCCTGAGAGAGCTCAGAAGGACTAAAGATGAAGTGAAGGCAATGTCTAGGAATTAGCATTCCCTAAAATTAAGTCCAAAAGTACCACAAACACACTAAACTTGTCTATGAATTAGAAAATAAGATATTGCTACTGCTTCTTTTGATCTTTTGAGATTAACAGTATTTGTAGGCTCTGACCTTCAATATGAAAGCAGGACATAAAATCAGCTAAAAATTTCCAAATCATCTGATACTTAACGTTTTGGGACAGTACATCTTATTAACTTAAACAAAACAGACCTACCTTCTTCTTTCAATCCAACCACCTCACAAAAATGAGAACTGCAACAATCCAAACATGATTTTTAAAAAAAGTCTGTGAAAGTATTAAACTTTTAGAGGAAAGAAAAGCAAGGAAAACAAGAATGAGGGAGAAAGCTTAAGGAGGGGGAGGGGAAATCAATGGGCCTCTTTTATTTGGCGACAAGCAAGTGCAAGAAGTTCATATGAAATTTGTTTAGTTGTCTGTCTTGTGCATATCTGCGTTCTGAGAGGGGACTTTGAGGTTTTTCTGAAGCACGTGAGCATCTGCAGGCTCTATCCTCTTATAGTAGTTCTTCTTTGTCTCAATAATCTCAAAGCCAAACTTCCTGTAGAAATCGATTGCTGACTCATTACTGATCTGGACATGCCTAAAATATAAGATGGCAACAAACAATAGATTTACATTTCATCAGTTTTTAAAAAAAATTAGTTTACTTTTTTGTTTATAAAGGTGATATACAGAGGGATTACAATTACATGAGTACATTTCCTTTCGTACAATGTCTTGTTTCTATCAGCTTTTAAGTCTTCTCCAAGACAGATCAAAATAGCTTCAAACTGAAGTTTTAGAATATTGCAGACATTCTCTTTACATTACCAGTAATCAACAAAGATTAGTTAATTCATAAGAGAAAACCTTTTAATCTATCGTTTCCATTTGCAAAATAGATGAGTGGGATTAGGATACTCATTAATAGTTGTTCATTTTACAGTTAACAAAGGATAAAGTACTATCATACTTTTTACTGGAGAGAAAGAATTCTGTAATTGAAATAGGAAAAATAACCAGAGGAATGAATGGTGATAACTAAAAATATGCTATGCTTTAAAATTAAGAAATCTGAACTTTCTAAGCCAAGAGCTGATGACTTACACCTGTAATCCTAGATGCTCAAGAGGCTGAGGATCAAAGCTTTAAGTTAATCAAGGCAGGAAAGTCCAAGAAACTCTATCTCCTATTAACCACCAAAAAGCCTGAAGTACAACTGTGGCTCAAATGGTAAAGCTCTAAAGTTTGAGCAAAAAAGTTAAAGGGACACAGCCCAGGCCCTGAGTTCAATCCCTATTACTTACATACTCCCACAAAAGGAAATAAAGACCGGGGGAGGCGCGGCGTGGGGGGGAGAAAGAAAGAAATGGAAAGAAATGGTAGTAATCTTGTTTTTACTCTCAAACTGGCATTCTGAAGTATAATCTCAGCTAGAACATTTCTGACTTGGGTTATTAATCTCAAATTAATTTCAAATGAACATGTTATTTTCAGCCTTGAACAAAGTACAGAGATGCAAACGTAAGGAAAATAATACAATGGCATCTGTAGCCTTGAATTCTGAACATCTAAATTGTAATCCTAATTTATCTCTATTATTTACAAACTTTCCCCAATATAATCAAGCGATGTGTCGGGTTGAGAAGGTGGCTCAGTGGTAGAGTGCTTGTCTTGCATGCTTGAGGCCCTGGGTTCGATTCCTCAGCACCACATAAGCAGAAAAAAAAAGCAGGAAGTGGCACTGTGCCTCAAGTGGTAGAGTGCTAGCCTTAAGCTAAAGAGCTGAGGGACAGCACTCAAGCCCAGAGTTCAGGCCTCAGGACCAGACCCAAAAAAAGAAAAAAGCCAGTTGTGGTGCTGTGGCTCAAGTGGTAGAGTGCTAGCCTTGAGCTGAAGAGCTGAGGGACATTGCCCAGGCCCAGAGATCAGGCCCCATGACCGGCCTTTTAAGCTATTTTTAAAACAAAACAAATAAAACTTTGTATCCACCTTCCATATTGATGGCTCTTGACAAGATTCAGCCAAACTCAAGTTTCGAATGTTCAGAAAAAAATTGTTCACCGAATTATTTTCTTGTCACACTACTTCTTGTCACTCCTTAAACAGTATAGTGTAACCAATATTTGCATAGCACTTATGCTGTAGTATGAAAAGTAATCTAAGTTGATTTAAAACATAGTGAGAAGACGTACATAGGTCATCTGTGAATAGTACGTCGTTTTATATATGAATTAGAACATTCTCAGATTTTGGTAACTAGGGGTTGGGATGCTGGAAGCAACCTCTTACAGATTATCAAGGGACAACTAATCATACTATTATGGTGTTTTCAATTATACAGTAAGTAATCAGATTCCAAAATTTCTAACGAAGACTATCAACAATTTATTACAAATAAGAACACAGTATTCTTATACTTACAGATAGATGTTGTCAAAAGTGCCATCTTTTTCACAGATGTTTAAGACATGATTTAACATTTTTGTTCCTATAAGACAAATAACCTTATAAATCAACCTTTAAATTTGACACTTCTCATCTCAACTACTTCATGCATCCTAATGTAGAGCTTATGAAGTATGTAGACATTTATTTCCTTAAATTTTGCTTTTTGTAATAGTTACCTATGGTTAAAACTGTAAAAGAGCAAGTATAATCACTTTAAAGAACCTAAACAACATGTTGGGCTAGAGGTGTGGCTTAAGTTATACAAGGCCCTCAATTCAAACCCTAGTATTGCCAAAAATCAAAGAGTGCCAGGAAGATGTGGCTCACACTTGTAATTCCACCACTTGGGAGGCTGAAGCAAGAGGGCTGAGCATTTAAGGCAAGTAAACAAGATCATGTCTCAAAAATACAATAGTAAAATAACAATAAAAAATTTAACAATACAAAAAAATGAAATGTGAGCAAAAGGAACAATTTCCTATAGGGTTTCCAATTGAATTACGTTAATAAACACAAGTTTTCACTTAATAATCTAGTAATGCTTTCCTGGTATTCCTGATGTACTAGATCAAACATACTAACAAACCATGTAATTATATATTTTTAAAGAAGTAAAGCACAAATAGTTTTACCTATTCCTAGTCTTCGATAAGGTGCTAGACATCCTAGTGTCATGATGTAAAGTCTCTTCTGATTCTGTGAATGATCCACCCTGCAGCATACTGCACCAACAGCTATATCATTGAAATAGGCTGCCATGGAGAATACAAAGATACAAAGTTCAACACAAACACATCTTAATAAACTTTCTCCAACTCTCTAGAAGACTAAGTTATTGTTATATAAGCATTAAACTTTAGTCAGCTACACTATATCAATATTAATGGCCTGAAACCTCTTATTTTGTCTGTAGAGGCTAGGCCTTCACCATCAGAAAAGTTTATCAGATAATATCATAAAGAACATTTAACATTTCCTTTTACAATTCAAATATTTATCTTGATTTCTGAAATTGTTCCCCTCAAAACCAGGATCACTACAATTTTCTCACTTGTAAAATACAGGTATTAGATAACTCTTCCTGCTCTATCTAATTCTAACTGGTACAGCAGAAAAATGTAATTTGTAAAAAGAGAAGAAAAAAAACATATGATACCAAGTTTTGCTAGCTCGCCAACCTCCAGCACATCCTTGTAGAACTTGTCATTGTAGCTGACCGGGAAGATGACCTGGTTTAGTCTCTTCAACTGCTTAATATTGTGTGGTGTCACATCTCCCAGCTCGATCCGGCTACTGGAACAAATCAAAATGTACTCAATAAAATATAATTAGCTTCATTTGTTAAAATGATTACATTCATTAAGTGGTAATTGTCACTTTTCTCATGACTGACAAATCCAACCCTTTCATCCTGACTATAATTCTTTTTTTTCCTGACTGTAATTCTGAAGATTACCACTTAAAAGCAAATTTTGCCCATCATTCACTCCAAATGCTACTCAAAACTTTTATAAACAACAAACTTCAGAAACAAATATACTAATAATATATAAAATACAGTCTCTTGAAGATGTTCCACCATTATGTAATAAGAAGCCTAAAAAGTACATCTCCTTGGTCCAAACTAATCCAATTTGTTAAGATTTATTCTAAGAAAACAATTCAAGTATGCAGTAAGTGTACATTCTGATTATGAAGAAAAGTGGTACAGGAACCAACTACAACAGAATCACAAGTTAATACTTAAAATTCATATTCCTAGCTGGATGTACATGACTCACACCTGTAATCCTAGCTATTCAGAGGCTGAGATCTGATGCTCATAGTTCAAAGTCATCCCAAGCAACAAAGTCCACGAGACTCCTATATCCAATAATTAGCAAAAGCCAAAAAATTAAGACTGAAACATATGCAAATTAATCATCAGTCCATTGTAGTCAATCACAGAAGTTTTTTGTTGTTGATCGGTCGTGGGGCTTAAACTCTGGGCCTGGGTGCATTCCCTGAGCTTTTTCTGCCATTTGAGCCACAGCTCCACTCCCAGCTTCTTTGGGGTGATTAAGCATAGACATTTCACTTCATGGACTTTTCTGCCTGGGCTGGCTTCGAACCACAATCCTCAGATCTGACTTGAGTAGCTATGATTACAGGAGTAAGCCACCAATGCCAGCTAAAGAAAGTCTTCATTCCTTACTTCTCTTCCCGCCACGCCCCCCCCAGTCTTTTTTTTTTTTAGGCCCAAGAGCCGGACTTGAAATTGGTACCTGAGGTGTTTGCTCACTGGCTAGTGCTTTACCAAGGGAGCAATGCCTCCAACCCCAGTCAGTTTGTTTCTTTAAAAGACAGAGAGCATTTCAGCCAACTGCAATGTGAGGACCATTTTGAAATCTGATGTGAACAGGGTTATTTTTAAAGAACATTAAAAGACGCCAGAAAATTAAATATATAGATGATCAGACCATATTACGTTTTTTGTTTTGGTCAGTCCGAACATGGGGCTTGAATTCAAGGTCTGGTACTGTTCCTAAGCTCTTTTGCTCAAGCCCAGCACTCTTACCTTTGAGTCACAGTACTACTTCTCATATTATGTATTTTTTTGTTGTTGTGGATTGTGGGGCTTAACTCTGGGCTTGGACGCTGCCCCTGCACTCTTCAGCTCAAGGCTCTACCACTTGAGCCACAGCACCACTTCCAGTTTTCTGGTGGTTAACTGGAGAAAGAAGACTCACGGACTTCCCTGCCCAGGCTGGCTTTGAACTCTGATCCTAAGATCTCAGCCTCCTGAGTAGCTAGGATTACAGGCGGGCCTGGCACATATTTTGTTTTTAAAAGACATTTTCTGTGAAAAATTCATTTTAAGTATGTATAAGTGGAATGATAAAGTATGTCTGTAATTTCCTTTGAAGTGCTTTAGCTAAAAATAGGGGGAAAATGGGCTGGGAAGGTGGCTCAGTGGTAGAGTGCTTGCCTTGCATGCATGAGGCCCTGGGTTCGATTCCTCAGCACCACATAAGCAAAAAGAAAAAAGCCGGAAGTGGCGCTGTGGCTCATGTGGTACAGCACTAGCCTTGAGCTGAAGAGCTGAGGGACAGAGCCCAGGCCCAGAGTTCAGGCCCCGCGACAGGACCCCCCCCCAAAAAAAAAATAGGGAAAAAAGTAAAGCAAATATGAAATAATAGATTCTACTTAGAATTCAGCCTGTTCACTCTGTGTCAACACACTCAAACCCACTGGGGCAGGAGCTTTGTCCATTTTGTTGTACAGGGCCTGGCACATAGTATTTATTCATGAAATAGGAAGCCTGCTCAGTACAGGTGCAAGGCAGAGGAATACACAGAGGAGATCCAGAGTGCCCACCTCTTGCCTGAGGGGGGCAGCCCTCATCGCATACCCATAGCCTAGCCTGCTAGAATGGTGAAGGAGCTGTGTACACGGATGGACAATCCCAGAGGGTAGTCTGTCCTAGAAATTCCTACTGGTTTGGGGTTTCTTTCCTACTTCTCTAGCTCCTGATGGGGATCAGATGATAGGGCTCACTGCACTTTTTACTTTCATAAGCATTTGAATTTTTCCTTAATAAAAAGGGGGGAAACACAACAAATGCAAGCACTGCTCATTACTTAAGTCATAAACTGAACGACTTTGACCTTTTGTGGCAACTTTAAAGGGTGGTGAGAATGTTGTTTTTGGTACTAAAATGGACAGTTAAAAGTACTATGTGTTTGCATATACACAGATGTGCACACACATTTGGACAGTGCTGCGATGGAACTCAGGGCCCTGTTATATATTAGTTAATTACCACTAGGCTACCACCCCAGCCATATATAAATATACATGATATATGATGTATATACACCATGTAGCACTCTACTACTTTGAGCCACAACTCCACTTCCAGTTTTCTTGTGGTTAATTGGAAATAAGAGTCTCATGGTGTTTCCTGTCCTGGCTGGCTTTGAACTGTAATCCTCAGATTTCAGCCTCCTGAGTAGCATTATGGTAGTGAGACACCAGTCCCTGCCTATGAGAATCATCTCCAATAAACTACTTTAAAAAGCCAGAAGTGGCATTGTGGCTCAAGTGGTAGAGCACCAGCCTTGAGCAAAAGATGCTCAGGGATAGCACATTGCCCAGAATTCAAGCCCCACGCCCAGCAAAAAACAAAACAAAATTCCACAAATAATGTTTTAATTGAACAACATTTTAAAATTAACTTTTAACTTCTACTCAGTTCTACCTGGGCCATGAATCGCCATTTCCCCCCAAATACAAGCTTCCTGCTATTTAGCTGTCGTGGTTATCAATGAACTGCAGTACCTATGATCAAGTAACGCTCACATAGTAGCCGGATGATGAAGTCATTCACTTCCCTACATATTACCAGCTTTGGCTGGTTTGGAACCATAAGGGCCCTCAGATTTCAGCCTCCCAAGAAGCCAGGGTTACAGGCATGAGCCACTAACACTAGGCTTTCAGTCATATTTTATATGCTGTAATTTTTAAGCTCTCAATATGAAACTAAGAAATCTTTATTCACAGATTACAAAACAAGCTTTGTCCTAAGTGAGAGAGTACATGTCTTAGATAAGAAGCTCTATCTTGGGGGGGAGGGGGGAGGCTGGGAAGGGATGTGAAGGTTAAACAAAGGAGGAGGATGCAATGCTTGGTAAGAAATGTACGCATTATCCTGCCCATGTAATTGTAACCCCTCTGTACAGTATGTTCACAAATAAAATAAAATTAAAAAAAAAGAAGCTCTATCTTTGTCCATTTTCTGCAGCTGTAACATACTACTACAGATTAGGTAAAACTGTAAATAAGAGAACTTTGACTCACAGTTCTGGACATAGGGAAGATTAAGGGAAGATACCATATAATAAGAGAGAAAAAAGACTTAATTCCCCTTCCTTTTATAATAGATTCACTTCTGCTACAAAAGTCAAACTAATCATGAAGGTGGCTTCCCTAAAAGCCTATTACCTCTTAAAGAGTCCATCTCTTAGCCTGTTACAATGGATTAAGTATCAACATAAATTTTGAAGGGGAATTCACACTACAGAAAGCTCTCAATTATTTTGAAACATTAAAGTAATATTGGTAATCATGACCATAATTGTAAAAAACAAACTTACTGTAGTATTACAAAGGGCCACAAGATGGTATATTATTCCACAAAAGTAGATCTTTCACTGTACAGAGTGTAAATTTTTTTAATTTTTAATTTGTTTTTTGGTCTGGGGCTTGAACTTTGGCCATAGGTACTGTCCCTCGGCTCTTTAGCTCAAGGCTAGTGCTCTACCACTTGAGCCACAGCACCACTTCTGGTTTTCTGGTAGTTTATCTAAGAGTCTTACAGACTTTCCTGCCCAGGCTGATTTGAACCGCTATCCTTAGATCTCAGCCTCCTGAGTAGGCATGAGCAAACACCTGGCCCAAAGTGTGACTTTTAAAGACCTATAGTAAAAAGTGAAAACAAAACCCAAAGCTTAAAAATCACATTTTGAATAGGTATGGAATTCTTTGGCACAAAATCTTAACTACTTGGTTATTTCTTGTTTAATGTTTCATCTGAAAGGGATTTGAGAAACTACTGGGTTATTCTCATTCTGCAGATGACAAAACAAACCATCTCCCAGAGCACAAAGATGCTCAGTACAGCTACCAAAAAAGTCAGAATCAGGTCTACATTTATCTAGGAATCCCCAGACTTTCTAGATCAGTCCTATTATGTTCCTTCAAAGAAATCATCTTTACTCAAAGGCCCCTGAGAGTATGTGTATGTATAAGAGGGAAGGGGGATATTAGTCTGATATGGATGGAAAAAGGTGCACTTGCAGGAAACTCAAAGTATCTTTTAGCAAGGCTCAATGTATAGCTATGGTCAGATTTAGGTGTCCATTTTTTTTTTGGTTAGCTACCAGTATTACTGTTCTAAAGTCTTACCTTCAGTAAATTAAAGAGTTGGGCTGGGAAGGTGGCTCAGTGGTAGAGCGCTTGCCTTACATGCCTGAGGCCCTGAGTTCGATTCCCAGCACCACATAAGCAAAAAGAAAAAAGCCGGAACTGGCGCTGTGGCTCAAGTGGCAGAGTGCTAGCCTTGAGCTGAAGAGCTGAGGGACAGCGCCCAGGCCCAGAGTTCAGGCCCCACGACCGGACCCAAAAAAAAAAAAAAAAAAAGTAAATTAAAGACTAACTCTTTTAGAGAATAAATTCCTCTAACCTAAAAGTAATCCAATTCAGGATTTATCAAAGCACATCTTAAATACTAACTTTTTAGGAGGCCTTAATCT